ACCTGAGACAGAAAATTAACCCATCCTTAAATGATGAATTTTGCGTAACTTTCTCCAATTCATTTTCCAATTCCTTTGCTTTAATCTCAAGAGAGGGATTGCTATACAACTGATTAGTATCAGAATCCTTTAATAAAACTTTTTGCGCAATTTGTTCTAACTCAACCTCCAGTTTATTTATTTTTGTCTTAAGAGAGGCGATATCGGAATCCTTCAAAGATGAAGCTTTTTGCATCAAAGATATTATGCTTTCCAGTGATTTAACCATAGACCTTAGCGATTCTATTTCTTTTAACTGCTTAGCATTAAGATCGGCATAAGACTTTCGTTCGCAAGTAATTTATGAGATAAGCTTATTATTCAAACCATTTAGTTGATTAGCTAGAGGGGTAATTTGATTCATAGAATTATGCATACGCTTATTTTCCTCATGCGAGTGATCTAAATCATTTTGCATACGCTCATTTTCCTCATGCGAGTGATCTAAATTATTTTGCATACACTTATTTTTTTCATCTAAGACATAATATTTAGTTAAAAGTTGTTTGGCAGATTTTATAAACTTTTTGCGATCTTTTTTTAGCTGTTCTTCAAGTTCTAATCAGCTCGGTGGATATCGATTGGATGGAAGGCTTCCAAGTTTACTGCCATCACCATTGCCTACATCATTTAAGGTATGGATTCGAGGCATAGTTTTTTATCCTCGTAAATATAGGCAAAAAAAAAATATAATTTTTGAAATAATAACATTTATCCTAAGTATCCTAAGTATTCTAATTATCCTAATAAATTTTTTCGAAATAATATATTTATCATATTTATCCTAATAATTTATTTTCAAAATAATAGGATTATCATACTTATTCTAAATATTAAAAGGAATACATTTATCCTATTTATCCCAAAGAATATATTTATTCTATTCAGTCTATTTAATATTTTTTAAATATTGCTTTCATACCTTTTTTTGTGTATTTTCCTGAACCTTTCTGCCTTTTCGATCTCTTTTCTGCCTATTGCTAGTAGTATCTATAAGCATAACTTTCTATTTCTTTCCTATATATTATTCTACCCGTGGATACTACCAAATCTATACCCTAGTTTTCACCTGAGCCTTCCTAGAACTCCAAAAGGTTATAGACTATTTTTCTAATGATAATTCTAATTCTTTTATTAAGACAGAAATTTTGCTGGCCTCGGGACGCCAAAATCATGTGACTGAAAATTCTGAGATTAGTGAAAAAAGCTTACCCATACCTGAAAAAAATTCATCCCGTCTTTTATAGCCTGTTTGATTGCCAAGGATGAGGCACGAAGTGTCGAATTAGTTCAGAATTTACAGCTTTCATACCTTTTTTTCGTGTATTCTCCTGAGCCT